ACGTATTGCTTCTTCTAAAAAAAATGTTCTAACGACTTTATCTGACATAAAGTCATTATAGCATACTACCATACTTTAGGGAAGTTATTTAAACTCGTGCTCTAAGAAACATTCAGATACGACGGATATGACAGGAAATATGGATGTAGATCATGATTCATATTCCTAACTCCTAATTCCCTTAATTAACTAATAGAGGTAGATTTTTACAAAGATTCAACTATATTTAAATGATTATAAAATTTAAAATAGTATTATGACATTAAAATGTGGGATTGTAGGGCTACCTAATGTTGGTAAATCTACTTTATTCAATGCTTTAACTGCTAGTTGTGCTGCAGAGGCAGCTAATTATCCATTTTGTACAATAGAACCAAATAGTGGTATAGTTTCAGTACCTGACGAAAGATTGCATAAATTATCTTCTATTGTAGGGTCTAGTAAAATTATTCCTACTTATATAGAATTTGTGGATATTGCTGGCTTAGTGAAGGGAGCTAGCAAGGGAGAAGGACTTGGTAATAAGTTTTTATCTCATATAAGGGAGGTAGATGCTATTATACATGTACTACGTTGTTTTGAAGACATTGATATTACTCATGTGTATAATAAAATTGATCCACTAAATGATGCTGAAATAATAGAAACAGAGTTAATTTTAGCAGATCTCGAGTCTGTACAAAAACGTTTAGCAAATAGCGAAAAACGTTTAAAATCAAATGATAAAACTCTACAAGAACAAATAAATTTATTAAACGAACTATCCCAAATTCTCGCTAAAGGTAAACCGGCACGTGAGCTAACTGGTTTATACGATCAAGAAACTTTAAATCAACTACAATTATTAACATTAAAACCAGTTTTATATGTTTGCAATGTATTAGAACAATATGCTCTATCAGGTAATAAATTTACTAAAATGATAGAAGAAAAAACACAAAAAGAAGATGCACAATATGTTATTATCTCATCAAAAATAGAAGCTGAGATAGCTACTTTAGAAAATGAGGAAGAAAAAAAAGAATTTCTGAGTACTATAGGACTTATTGAAACTGGATTAAGTAAAATTATNTATCTCATCAAAAATAGAAGCTGAGATAGCTACTTTAGAAAATGAGGAAGAAAAAAAAGAATTTCTGAGTACTATAGGACTTATTGAAACTGGATTAAGTAAAATTATTAAAGCAAGCTATAATTTATTAAATCTAAAAAGTTTCTTTACAGTTGGTCCTAAAGAAGCACATGCTTGGACTTTTAAAAATGGTACAACAGCTGCTCAGGGAGCTGGCATTATTCATACTGATTTTGAAAAAGGTTTTATTCGTGCTGAAATTATTAGTTATAAAGATTATATAAGTTTAGGTAGTGAAGTAAAAGCTAAAGAAATGGGGAAACTACGTTTAGAAGGCAAAGATTATAAGATGCAAGATGGTGATGTAGTGCATTTTAGATTTAATGTCTAACTGTGAAAATAATTGCTCAAATTCCTCCTTGGATGCTACTTTGTTTGTTTGTTCTCTCACCTACTACTGAAGTAATGTATAATACAGGATTACCAAGCTTATCTAATTATTTTAATGTTAGCGCTAATATAGCACAAATGGCTTCTACTTTATATTTTTTAGGTTTTGCATTTGGTATATTATCGCTTGGTAGATTTTCTGATATATGGGGTAGAAGACCAATTATATTATTTGGCTTATTAATCTATATAATATCATCAATTAGCAGTATATTTGTTATTAATATCAAAATGTTGATGATTTTACGTTTTTGTCAAGCTTTTGGTGCTAGTGTTGGTTCTGTGATAGGTCAAGCAATGGCTAGGGACTCTTACCAAGGAAGCCAGTTATCTTATCTCTATGCTAGTTTGTCAATAGGAACTACGATTATTCCAGCTATTGGATCAACAATTGCTGGATATATAGTAGAATATTCAAGTTGGAAATATATTTTTGTATTTCTAAGTAATATATATGTTATAATATTAATTATATATTATAACAAATTACCAGAGACTAATCCTTATATAGAAGATGCTAAAAATTGTAAATATTTAGCAATATTAAAAGTTATAATTAAAGATAGAATTCTTTTACTATATGCGTTTATAATTGGTGTGTTTAATGGAATGATGTTTGGCTTTTCTATTGAGGCTCCTTTTATTTTTATTAAAACAATAGGTGTAACACCATCATTTTATGGGAAGCTAGCTTTTTTGTTAAGTATATCAAGTATATTAGGCAGTTTAATTAGTGGATATTTAATACGTAAAAATGTTGATAATAAAAAAATTATGATTTTAGGTTTAGTGTTAAGTTTAATAGGGAGTATTATACTTGTAATATCATCTTATTGGCTTTCTAAAAATATTGTAGTTACTAATATAGCTATAGTAATAATATTTTTACCAATGATGTTACATATGGTAGGACATAATCTATTAATTCCAATAACATTAAGGTATGCATTAGAGGATTATTCAAGAGTTACAGGAACAGCAGGATCAATTTTTGGGTCATTATATTATATATTAGTTACTTCTATTATTTTTATAATATCAAAAATACATAGCGATTCAATTAATAATTTCGCTCTATTATTTTTTATTTTAAGCTTTAGTTGTTCTATAGCATTTTATTTAATCAAATTATGGAATAATAAAAATAATAGTCATACTTTCAATTAATTATTATTTTGTTTCAGCTATTTCTATTTGCTTCTTTTTAAGAATTTTGATAAGCTCACCATCTTGATATAATGTATTTACTATATCACAACCGCCAATAAATTCCCCTTTAATATAAAGTTGAGGAATAGTTGGCCAGTCAGAAAAAAGCTTTATATCCTCACGTAATTCTGGACTAGATAAAATATTAATATCATGAAATTGCACTCCTATATTCTGTAATATTTTAACAACTACATCAGAAAACTTACATTGAGGAAAATTTTTAGTGCCTTTCATAAATAATACAATATCATTATTAGTGATTTCATTTTGAATAAAAGAAAAATTATTATTTTCTGACATATTTAACCTAATAAAATTATTGATTACCTTTTACCATTTAAACTATATATTATGCAAGCTAAAATCGTAAATAAAATCTTTGAAATCTTTAGTCAAAGTAATAATAATCCCAAAACAGAATTAGAATATGTAAATCATTTTACTTTATTAGTAGCAGTAATATTATCTGCACAAGCTACTGATATTTCAGTTAATAAAGCAACAAGATCTTTATTTAAAGAATATAATACACCTGAAGAAATATTACAACTTGGTGAAGAAAAATTAAGAAATTATATAAAATCTATTGGTCTGTTTAATAATAAAGCAAAACACATAATTGCCCTATGCCACAATTTAATAAATAATTATAATAGTAAAGTACCAGACAATTTTAATGACTTAATTAAATTACCAGGAGTAGGTAGAAAAACTGCTAACGTTATACTTAATTGCCTTTTTGATAAACCAACTATGGCAGTTGATACTCATGTATTTAGAGTAGCTAAAAGACTTGGAATTGCAAAAGGAAATAGTCCAAAAGAAGTAGAACTTAACTTATTAAAAACAATTAATATAAAGTGGTTAAAACATGCTCATCATTGGTTAATATTGCATGGTCGCTATATTTGCAAAGCAAGGACTCCTGACTGTGCTCATTGCCAAGTGAAAGAATATTGTGAATATTATAAACAATTACAACGTAATTAGTTGTTATACCATTTCCCTAATATAATTAGATATATGAGCAATTACATAGAGATTTTATAGTTTTTACTGAAATAGATTGAATAAATTCAACTACGGCACATTCAAGTTTAGTTAAACAATCGTAAACTT